CGGCGCCTGCAGGAAGCCCAGTGCCAGCAGCGGTGAGCGGACCCTCACCCGGGGCCCCGCCCCCGCCACCTGCTCCACCTCTCCCCCCCATGGGAGCTCCTGCTGAGCTGGAAGAGCCATCCCGGTGCCTCCAAGTTGCCCCAGTTCCCAGGGTGAACTCTCAAGGACAAAAGCCACAGGTGGAAAATGCAGATGCGTAAGCAGGGACCCCGTGTGCACCTCTGGGACCAGCCCCCCCGTGCCCGCCAGCAGGCAGTGTGGCAGCGGCATCGCTATGGCGTGGGCACCATACAGCCCTCCAGCCAGCGCCCGCTGATGGCAGTGGTTCCTCCTTCCTTTGCCTTGCACATTGGTAATTAAAAAGCCGTGTCATTGCTCAGAGACCTCCCTGTAAGGCTGAGTCGCTGCGGGGGTCCCGCCTGCCCCAGTCAGGGGGTATTTATTTCCCAGCTGGTCCAGTGTCAGAGGGCGGTGGGCAACATGGGGACGCCACTCGGCATCCCCGGGCTGAGGAGACGTGCGCTGGCAGAGGCTGGGATTTAATCCCTTACCCAAAGCTGTTTGTTTTTGTAATCTCCGAGAAAATCTGTGCCTCGGCACGCTGACCTGCTCGCCGTGTGGCTGGGCAGCAGCCCCCGGGCTCGGCATGGCACTGCCACACACTGACCGTGTGGGCAGCCCGGCTGTGGGGTGGGGGTACCCGCTGGTACCCCCCGCTCCTCCGCTCATCTCCTGCCGGTCCCCCAACCCCGGTGGTGGGGAGATGCCTGGGGGTGGCTCCGGACAAGACCTTCACCACACTGTGGTTACCTGTGGCCTTTTTAGGGTAAAAAACAGTTTTTTCCAAGGCATGGGTGTGCCGTGTGTCCCGGTGCAGGAGGGAGCTGGGTTCTGCGTGTCCCTTCCCATGGGGGCTGAGCTGTGCGCAGTGTCACGCATGCCGGAGGTGAGGACACAACTGGGGCTCCCGCAGCTCCCTGGGAACGAAGCCCCACCGTTTTAAGCGTTCTGGCATCTGGAGGCTGTGGCCGAAGCCAGGGCTGCCGGGGGGCTGCAGGAGGGGCCGGGGGCGGGGGTCAGCTTAGCCCCCGGGGTGTGCTGTGTCCCCTGTCCCCATGGCTCTGCCTGTGAGATCCATCCCTGCCTGCTCACTGGAGCTGGGTGAGCCCTGACCCTGCTTCCCCACGGGGATGGCTCTTGCCTCCTCCCGCATCATCCCCAGGCGGGCGGACGTGCTCTTTGGAAGGGAACCGGCAGCATTTTCCTGGCAGGGACGCGTCTCAGCTGCCTTTCCCACC